CCCCAGTAGATAGTTGTATGTCATAGTTGCACATCCTTCTAGTTGCTGTATGTGGGACGCGGCCTCAGCATGGCCGGACAAGCGGTGCGTCAGTGTACACCCCGGGATCTGAACCCGGCCCGCCAGTAGCGGAGCGCGCGCACTTAACCGCTACACCACGGGGCCAGCCCAGGGTTGTTATATTCTTAATGATTACTTAAATGAAATCTCCCACTGCTGGGGATATTTGTTTTCAGGTGACCTTGAAAACAATACCTCAAGTGGATCTTGAGGTATTAGAAAATGAGAAATTCAATCATTTTGATTAACTTGTATCCATATGAGAAAAACCTCATTATAAATAAATATGATGCATATATAAAATTATAAAACACTTTTAAGTATATGATGTCCTCTCAGCCTAGGCTCATTAAAGGTAATAAAGTGATGCAACTCAGGGCCGGCCCTGTGGCTTGGTGGTTAAGTGCGCGCGCTGCAATGCTGGTGGCCTGGGTTCGGATCCCGGGTGCGCATCGAGGCACCACTTCTCCGTCCATCCTGAGGCCGAGTCCCACATACAACAACTAGAAGGATGTGCAGCTATGACATACAACTATCTACTGGGGCTTTGGGGGGAAAAAATAAAATAAATAAAATCTTAAAAAAAAAAAATAAAGTGATGCAACTCAATAAGAGAAAAATCTTCGTGAAGAGACGAGATTTTGATTGGGATCTTTTTTCCCTTTATTATTGCCTTCTTTAAAGAAAATTAATAAATTGGCTATTGGACAACAGAGACTAAGGTTGTACTTGCTATAAAACAACTGGGTCAATAAGGTACTCACGTTAGCAGTGAATAAGTCATTAGTACAAATTAAGGGGAATGTAGACTCAAAATTAACTAGTTCAGATAAAATGTAGGCTTTGTAAAATGGAGGATCATTTTCAGTTAAGAGATTGGGCAAACAATTTGCAGTAACACGCTAACTTACCAAAAAAAACTCAAAACCTATAAAACATATTAGCTAGTAGAAGAAGAAGAGCTGCAACAAGTCTTCTCAGTGTCAGTTGTGTGCATAGCCTCAGGGTAAGTGCTCTGGGAGATAACAGAAGTGAATAGAGCTTCTAGGCCAGGAGGAGGGCTAAGATGTGAGTTTGGGCAACTCTGGGTGTAATGATGAGAGGTATAAACCTCATGCTATAGGCACTTAAAAGACAGAGCAGTTGCTTCCATTTGATCTGCCCAGGATCACCAGGGAAGGCTTCGAGAAAGAGGTGGTATTTGAAATGGCTGGTAGAGATGAGCAGGATTTTAGTGATTGGAAGTGAGAAAAAGGAAGAGATGGGCAAGGATGTGCTTGGGAAACACGAAGTATATTCAGAGCAGAAAGGGCTGTTTTGGGCCAGAACGTGAAAAGATACTGGAAGGTAAGATTAGCAGAATTGGTTTAGACAAGTCAGCAAAGGCCTTGACTTCTTTTTTTTTTTTTTTTAATTTTTTGTTTATTGCAGTAACATTGGTTTATAACATTGTAAAAATTTCAGGTGTACATCATTGTACTTCTATTTCTGCATAGATTACATCATGTTCACCACCAAAATACTAATTACAACCCATCACCTAAACTAAGTAATTTGATCTTTTAAAAATTTATTGAGAACCTTTTAAAGGTTTTAGGACTGAGTGAGATGAAGAGTGATTTCCTTAATTCCAGTTAATCTGGCTACGGCATATCAGATAGGTTTGCATGGAAAATCTGGAGGTGGGCGATAACTTAGGTGGAATTTACTATAACCTGGGAAAGAAGTGAGTGATTAAAAGAGTAAAATGTTGGGAGTGGACAAGAAGGGATAGATATAAGAAGACAGGATGACCATTAATGCGAGGGTAACTTGTGTTTTGTCCTGGTGACCAGTAACAGAAAAGACAAAATATCTCATTTGAGGCAGGAAAAAAAAATTATTTTAGATAAGAGACGTATCAAGGAAGTAGTTAGAAATGTGGGAGCAGAACTCAAGGCAGAGAGTAGATAAGTGTCATGAAGGGAAAGAGTTAAGAGAAGAATGGCAAAGCCAGAGCCTCAGACAGCACCCATGACCCTTTGTGACAGAAATTTGCAGTCTTGGCACTATTGCCATTTTGGACCAGATAATCCTTTAATGTGGAGATCTGTCTTGTGCATTGTAGGTTATTTAGCAGCTTCTCTTGCCTCTACTCACTTAGATGCTAGCAGCCACCCCCCAATTGTGACAATCAAAAATGTCTCCAGACATTGCCCAATAATCCCCTGGAGAACAAAATCACCCCCAGTTGAGAATCATTGTTTTATGTGAATAGAGATGTGGACACACAGTAGTTGTATATTGATTTGTGATCATTTTTTAATCATCATCGTATTTAATATAAATATTAAATATTTATAATTTCCATTATAAATATGGCAATTTTAATATAAAATATTAAAACACACAGGCCAAAACATAGGCAGTCATCCAGGAAAAGACACTTGTTACAAAGTAGCACTTGTGGTTGGAATTCAAGCAGAAAATGGCAGAGAGTCTCCTCTGTCAATGGCAGTGGGTTAGCTACTTCAGTGGTGGGTGTGGTAGTTGTGGAAGCAGAAATAGTATTGCTACTAGTGTTCCTACTACTACTAATAGTTAATGTTAACTACACACATACTGTGTGCATATACTGTGCTAAGCACTTTATATGGATTATCTCACTGATCCTCACAAAAACCTTGTAAAAATACATTTTTGGGGCCAGCTCGATGGCATAGTGGTTAAGTTCATGCTCTCTGCTTCGGTGGCCTGGGGTTCGCAAGTTCGGATCCTGGGCACAGACCTACACACCACTTATCAAGCCATGCTATGGCGGCACCCCACATATAAAATAGAGGAAGATTGGCACAATGTTAGCTCATGGACAGTCTTCCTCAAGCAAAAAGAGGAAGATTGGCAAAAGATCTTAGCTCAGGGCCAGTCTTCCTCACCAAAAAAAAAATACGTTTTAGAGGTAAGTAAATGATGCTTAGATTAGAACTTATTCAGACCTCAAGGCTAGCAAACAGTGGAGCTGAGAGTTGAACTAGGAAGTCAGGCTCTAAAACTTCTACCCTTAAGTCATTGTATAATCATACCAGAAACTGAATAGGCAAAAGAAAAAGTGGAGGACATAGCTGCCGCAGAACCCCTAGTGAGTTGGCCCAACTTTGATTGCAGGAATACAGTGAAGCCCAGTAAGAACAACATGGTGAAGAACGGGACAGAGTGGAGTAGATGAGTCTCAAATGGCAACCCATGAAAAAAGTACTTGCAGCTCATAAGCACAGGACTGTAGTTGTAAAAATACCTTGTAAGTGCCTGATAACTTTACATTTTGCAGAACACTTTCTGATCTATCATTCCATTGATCCTCTCCAGAATCCTGCAAGTAGACAGTACGTTTATTCCCTTCTAACAGTTGAAGAACTGAGACCCAGAGCACTAAGTGGCTGTTCCAAAGTTATACAACTTATCAATGAAAGCGGGACTGGAACCCATGTCATCTGACTCCATGTCTGGTGCCCTTTCTCCCAGACTGTTCTGCTCTCTCAGTATGCCACAGACATGGGAGGCCATCACCTGGGAAGTACTCATGTTTCTTGATGGAGATGCATCATGAGGTTATATCTGGAAACATTTCTAGATATAGTTATTAAGTGTAACAGAACTTCAGTGGAGTAATTTGTTCACTTGAATCAGTGTAATTGGTTGATATTCAGATTTATGTTATATGAGGCTGATGTATTTTAAGACATATTTTTCCATTCATTCTAGAATCATTATGTCCACTCTGTATCCAATACTGTGATCTTTCTAAAACACAAAAGCGCTTGACACTTCAGTCAGAAATTTGGCAACTTGGATACATTTCTAATGTAATCTCAAATACTTGGTAAGACTGGAGAGGAATCTTAAGATTTAAGACACTTATGTATAAGATTTCTATAGAAAAATCATTCAAAAGCTACATCATATACTTTAGTAATGATAGAGGAAACGTGTTTCTGCATGTGGATAATAGAGTATTAAACTGCTTGGAAAATTGCCTGTCACAAGACAAAGCTTACTCACTTACTCTTGGTCCTCAAGCATTTGGTCTTCATGCTTTCTGTGTAGCAATGCCTTTCTCTGTAAATGTCAGAAATGATTTCTTAAGAAATTAACTTGCAGATCTGCAGTATCCTTAGAGGAACAAAGAAGGAAAAATATTTTAAAGTTTTAAAATATTTTAAAATAATAGGTATTTTATATAAAGTATGTAGGGATCAGAGTCAGTATATCAAATAGTGAATAGTGATGTTAACGATAACAAGAGAGTGCTATATAAAACCAAGAGCTCAAAATCCCAAATTCAGTGTTTTGGTTTATTTTTCTTGTATAGTAATCTAAAATTATAAAAAGGAAGGGCAGTAATCTACAAAATGTATATTATTTTTATAAGTCAAATGTGTACTCCTCAATTTTGGAAACAGTAACTGAAATGAAGAATCTCTAATGGGTTGTCCTTTTTTGTTTAACTTAGCTGCTTCTGGTTAGTACATGCCATCTGTTGTAATTTTTTGCTCCCCTTCTCATTGATACGTAAACTTGAGTTGATAATGAATTGGCCCTTTAAGGATCAATATAATTCTCATCTCATTTGAATATCTTTTCTTAATTGTCCCCAACAGAATCTTCTTCCCTTGAAATCTATAAAACATAGTGTCTTTACTGCTTACTTGTACCACTCATGTGTTACCTTCAGAAATTCTATTTTCCTGACTTATATCTTATCTCCCAACTGGACTTTAAGCTCTTTGAAGGTAGAAACTATTTTTTATACTTCTTTACATTTCCAAAACCTTTCATGGTACTTGAAAGTAGAAGGCACGCGTTACATCTGAAATTATGATGATGATTTAGTAAAGGCTATCATACGAGAGTTGAGAGCAAGGAAGGCACTCCAGATGCACATCTTCATCAACTCACAGCAGTTTGTTTTATGATAATAGTAGAACAGGAAATTAGAATAATTTTTATGCAGTACAACAAAAGCCTTAAATTATTTATTTCCCTCCTTCATTTAAAATGCTTTGTTTCACACTTGACAAATGAATGAATTATGGTGGTCTAATCCAAAATTTTCTGCCTTTAACAGGATGGAAATTTCTCTGTCAGTACTGTATTTGAAAAACCTCAAAATATGATGGTGGTTGGACAGTCAGCATTTGCAGACTTTGGTAAGATTGTTTTTATGTTTCAAATTAATTCCCCCCTCTCTCTGACCTAGTCATATTAATTCCCCATATCAGAAAATAACTTGAGTGTCTTCAGAACAATTATAGATTTAAAAGATGCCTCTTCTAGTAATACTCATGGCATGTGGTCAATTCCTTAATACAATAAGGAGTGATTTATGACATGTATGTTAAATTACAGTTTGAATTTAAGGGACTCCTGTTTGCACGAGTAACATGCAAAACAAGGAAATCTACTATGGCTTTTCTAGAGAATACCAAATAGTAATTATTGTGAAGTCTTCACGTGTGTCCAGGTTAATGGAACAAAAAAAAATTGAAGGAGTTCACCTGACTTCTTAAACCTTAAATACTAAAAATCCATTTTTATTTACATCTTAGTTCCAAAGAAGAGTAACATCTATTATGAATTCGCCACAAGAGGACACATGAATCTCTGTTTTCCATAAGATTCTACATAGTAAATCAAGTTCACATTGGTTAGGAATTTCCAAAACATCTATGTGTCTTTCATTATTTGTCAGAGTTGTTATTAAAAGGATTTTGGTATTAGATGGGAACGTTGTCTAGATGGCCACCACCTAAGAGTTCAAAGCTCACTCCCAACATGCTTCTCCTTCATTCTGCCAATAAACACCTCAGCCCGTTCCTCAAAATGCAGGCAGCATTCCACCACATGCAGAGGCCTCAGTTTCCTCACTTATAAGGTGAGGATGACGATCATGTCCACCTCACAAGGCTATTGTGAATAACGCAATGTGAATAAAGTGTCGAAGCACAAAGTAAGAGCACAAGAAATTATTGTACAGTTTGAGTCTTTTCATTGGACTTACCTGGTTTGGTAGTTGTTGTTGCTGCTCTTTGCTCAGTTGAATAAATCAACTCATTGTTCAGTGTCTTAGAGATGAATCCCAAGGCAGCTAAAGCAGGAGGTTTGATAGTGTTAGTTGATAGAAATTTCAACATGAATCTCTATGTTGTACTGTGTTTTAGTTTTATTATATTGAATTTTACTTTGATTTTGAGCAGATTTCTGTTGCCTGCTTTATAGTCTTTAATGCAAATAGTCAAGTGATAGAATACTGTGTGAAATTACTTTTTTTTATTTGCTGATTGACTTGATTAGCCGGATTAATGACAAATCCCATGCAAGTCTCTCTCTAGGAAAAAAAAAAGTATATATACATTATGTAATTCTCAGGGAACTCTCAGACCTCCCTAAACCCCTGGCTAAGACCCTCCGAATTAAAGTTACTTGTTTTGTGATTGTGTGTTTTGTATGATAAAGTGCCTTGCTTTTAACAAATTATTAGTAGCGTTACTTAAAATTTCTTTTTAATTATGCTGACCATAAACATAGACATTTATTTGTTGGGATTTTTTAAATGTACAGAATATAGGATACAGTCAATTAAGAAATATAACTGTATTTTCTCCCATTTTTGATAATTTTAGGTATATATCAGTAAACTTTTTAAATGTATCATTAAACTTTAAATAAATATCCTACAATGCCTTTTTAAAGTCCATGAATTTTTAGTTGGGTATTATCAAAAATCAAGACTGCTAATGAGTCCAAAAAAGCAGATTGCATTGAATAAGGTTATGAATATTAATATAAACAAAATATACATTTTCCTATACATTTGAATACATCTGTGAATTGCATCCTGCCGTCCATTCTCCACTCCTCCTACTCCCTTTGAACCAAGTCAGGGGAAGTGACTGACAGCCAAGAAGTAGCATAATTTCAGAAATTTACCATTCATTTGGTAAAAAAAGCACATGCTTGAATAAATGGTGTAGCTCACAGGAAGAATCCTGTACCAAAAAGAAGTGTTTAAATGGCTCCCGGCTCACTTACCTTGTCTAGAAACTGAAGTTTTTTACAGCTATAATGAAGTTTTTAGCTGCTAACGCAAAATATTTTTTAAAAGATGTCAAAAATATCTACTCTAAACTGAGTCTGTTCTGGTATAACCAAAGGGAGGTGAGTAGGGTGGTTTGAAATCAAGCAAATCAGGAACCTTTAGCAAATAAAGCAAAGAAATACTATCCAAACCATTATAATGTTATTTTTTTATAAGACAAAGAAATACTTGCCTAAAAATCAGCTAAATAAAACACCATAGAATGTTATACAGCCAATAAAAATGATGGTTATGAAGATTCTGTTAGGAGAAAAGAACAGAACAATATGTTGTACAATATGAGCGTCTAAAAAAAGCCAGACTAGAAAGAAATATATTGAAATGATAATAATGGTTGTGTTAAAGTAGAATAATAGGTTATCTTACTCCTTGTTTTCCAAATGTTCTGTTACTTAATTAGATTACTTTAATATACTGATTTAATGATGAAAAAGTGCATTATAGAAGTAGTCAACAATGGCAAGAAAGAACCAAAGTATGTACTTAACGTGTTGTTAGATTTTTTGTTGTAGTGCTTCTCCTATCTTCTGAGTTGTGTGAACAACTCCTTTAGAGAAGGTGATGTACTTTCACACGATCTTTAACTCTTAAACAAATAAAATGCAAAACTTAGACCTCTGTTATGCTTAAAATGTGCTGAATACTATGTAAGAAAGCAGAGATTTTTAAGGTAAGGTCCTTACCTTTGAGAAATTCACACAGTCTAGTTGGGACGACAAAAGACAAATATGTAAAAAGTACAAGAATAAAAAAAAAATAACTGCCATAATATAAAAGAAACCAGACTATATTTCATTGTTAATTATGAAATTAATGCCATAGAGATGCAAAGTCTTGTGGCAATTACGGATCGCTCTAGGCTGAGAAGGGGTAGGAAGCCTCATGAAAAAGGTGAGATTTTAGACTAGAGTTTGAAGCAGTTCTGAGGTTTGGCTAAAAATATGTGGAGGCATGAAAACAGGGTATGGTTAGTAACTAGTAACCAGGTTGGCTTGAGAGTTGCTGTAAAAATGTAGAAACATATAAAAATGGACTGTGAACACACTGGATTACCAAATGAATAACAGATGAACAAATGTTCATTTTATTCTGTGAAAGTACTGGGAAGTAGTAGAACAATTTTGATCAGTTCTTCATTAATACCTTTTTTAATTAACTTCTGAAAGTAAACAAAATCTTTTAATCTGGTGGGATATTCAGAAGGTAATGCTTAGACATGGAATAGGAATTCAGGAAAGATTATTAGAATTGTTAAGATGCTCAGGATTTTTATATCAAAAGAGAAGCAGATTTAAACAGTTTTAAAATACTGGATTTTCTAGGAATGGAAACCATTCAGGGCATGCGGTGGTGAGAACATGAGCTAACTACATCAATAGATGGAGGGACAGGTGTGAGAAACTTTGCAAAGAAATAATAAATTTAGTGATTGGTTTGACCCTAGAGAGAATAAAAAAAAATGTCTCTGAACAACTAAAAGAATCATTCCTTTTTCTACCAACCTCCATAGAGGTAGGTAATCAGGAGAGAAAGCTGGTTTGAATATTAAGATACTTCAGAGTCATCACGTTAATTATGCTAATAAGACAGCAAAGCTGGAACATCCAGGAAACCTAAGTACAGGAATAAAGCCAAAAGCAAGTTTGAAAAGTCCTCTAAGACCTACGAGGTCAAGACCTGAATGAGCCCTCCAAGGAAGAGTGTAAATAGTTTGACAGAGGAATAAGGAAGGAGAAAAAGGAGTACTAAAAGGTAGTCAGAAACGATTGATGATATTAAAATGTGATGCAAGAGGATGACCAAGGCCTTTGGATTTACAGGTTAGCAGGGCACTAGTGGCCCAAAAGGAATCATTTACAGACCTCTTTAGCAGTCCCTGAGGTGTAGAAATCAGCTAATAAATAGTGGCTGCTACTGGTTAAGGTGTCATGTGGTACTGGGCCCTGGCCTCATGCTTGGGAGATCTGCAACCCATAAATGCCTCTAATAGTTAAGCAGTCATCTAGAAAACATGCTTTGTGTCTTACCCTCATATATCATCCTTTTAAACTATATGTTAGAATTGAGTCTTTTTCTACGTAGGCTCAGAACATCAAATTCTAGAATTTCTACAAATAAGGTGACATCTCTTTATTACATCACATAGGACAAAAATGTCAAGAAAATAAGATACATTTATTCTCTCAAAAAAAATTACATACGACCGGGCTTAGAGAAAACATTAATTTTATGTGCAATGCCAGATGTAGTGGAAATCAATAAAAAGCTACAAAACTGAAGGGAAAAGAGAAACCTTAACAGAATGTCAACATTTTCTATAGATTGAATCAATTTTTATCTCATAATACATAAATTTACATATCCAAATCTGATGGTAACTCTCGTGTATCAGATCATCATAAGAAGATCACACTTTATTCTTCAAGTGAAGGAAGAATACCTAGCATGTTGGTGAAGCCTGGGAATTGTCAATCAGATCTCCTAAATAATCCTATAAGAAATAAAGGAGCTAATGAAAATAGAAAACTTTGTCACCATGAGAGTTAATAACGTATTGGAAAATATCAAACCCCTTAAAGATGGTGTCATTGATGGTTGAGACCAAATCTTATTCAATTGAGTATCCCCATTGCCTAGCACAGTAGGTAATCAATGATATTTATTCAACTGAAGAGAAAGGGAAGGTAACTCCACAATCAAGTCATTTTATGAAGTCTTTATGATGCTTGGTAAAAATTCAGATTTCAATTCCAAATTAACCAAGGTAGAGCTGAAATGCTTAGTTTGAAATAACATAGCAATTGTACTTCCTCTTGTTTTACAGTTAGGTGTATTAGATAACAGTCTGACAAATTAAAATTGTTTCTTGTTAGTGCTGATCTAGAAATAAAAGTAGATCAGATGAGCCATATATGGAAATTTAGATTTTATATTTAGCCTGAATGCTAATTGATAATTGAAGGTTCATATTCTCTTTTACAAAAGAATTTTTAAAATGAAGTGCCTTCAAATAGACAGATGATGATTATATTATAAAAAAGACTGTATAGG